CTAATCAATTAGTTAATCAATTGATTAGTTGATTAATTGACTAATCGATTAGTCAACTAATCGATTAATCAACTAATCGATTGGTCGATTGGTCAACTAATCGATTAGTTGAAATAAAATCGATTAATCGATTAGTTGGGTAAAATAGGTTGTCAACTAATCGATTGGAAAATTTTTGTCGATTTGTAGCACTATGTACTTTGTAAAAAAAGTACCTGTGGGTGCACTTTGCAAAACAGAATGAGGCAATGTGCTAGTTTATGCATCACGCTAACTTACCTACTTTAGTATGCTAGCTTCTTTGGATTTAGATAAGATAATTTGGCTATAAATCACTACTCAATGATAGATTTACTATATAATTGGTCCAAACTGAGATCTTTTTTATAGCTGTTTTTATAAATTTTGGAACAATTGAAAAAATTGCCAATAACCGAATCGATAAGTTACTGAGTCGGCAACAGATTCGGCTAAATTCAGAAACTTATCGATTTAGTTATTAGCAATTTTTTCAGTTGTTCCAGAATTTATGAAAACAGCTGTAATAAAATTGGGTTTTTAATTATGTATAATTGCAAAATATAGATATATTCAAAGCTGGCTGCATTATAGACCCAGGTTTATTATAGGTTTTAAAATTTATAAAATGTAAAAGGCCTGGCTGGGTCTTGTAAAAAAGTACTACTTAAGCTCTAGGGTTAGTATATTAGTTAGTTAGGTTGTGGATTGGGTTTAGGGTTCAAAATGAATAAAAATGGATAAAACAGATTAGTGAAGTTACGAATAGTAAATAGATTGGGTTAGGGTTAGAAAAAGGTAAAATGAGATTAAAGTTAGAGTTATAAATAGAGTTTAGAGTTAGAAATTAAATAATATAAATTAAATATGTATCTTTATTAATTTGTAATAGTATAAATAAATAATAAATATTAAATATAAGTTATATTATGGTATCTTATATACTTTGAATTTTACATCATATGGGCGGAAATTTTTAGTAGAGAGTACTGTGACTATATAAAATTAGATGATTATACTCATAAAAACTAATAAGTAACAGATCAATTTTGATAAATAATGGATCAATTTTGGATCATTCTAGTTTTTTTAGCTAATTTGTTTGGTATACTGCTTATAAAAACTGATAAGTAACTTCTAAGTAACTCATAAGCAGTTTTACAATCACTGACAAATAATCACTTTTAATATTAGTAATCACACTGTATTATATATTTTATTTTATTGGCTCAAATCCTATTTAATCTCATCATTCAACTTAAATAATCACAAATTGAAGATTTCTGCCCATATGAGCATGTATGATCATACTGGTCCTGCGTGGCATCACATGCTACGCAGCTATCTTATACAATAACCAACCAACCAACCAACCAACTAACCAACTTAACCAACTAATCAACTAACCAACTAACTGGTTAAATTAGTCACATGATTATGTAACCGGTTAGTATCTTCCCCAGTATCGCCATCAAAATTTTCACCTCCACGTGGCATATGTAATACAAATATCAATCGATATAAATACAATCAAACAGATTATTTAAGGTCTTCTTTGTCATATTGCCCAACAAAGGTGTATAAGGTGAAGTTGGTAAAGAAGGTGAAGAGAGGTTTTTCTCTTTGATCGTTTTTCAAGAACACAGTTCAGGTTTGTTATAATACGTTTTATACTGATATTGCTTTGAATTGAGCTGGCAAGATCAAGAATTTTAAATATTAAAGTTATACTGGTTTTTACCTAGTGCCGCTAAATATGTTGGCCTATTCTTATTTAAAAAATTTTATTCAAAAGCAATAAGCAACTATTTACTGTATATACTATATTCTGCGGCATCATCTGGTAATAAAAAGTTTTTTTTCTTTTTTTAGTTAAAACAAAAATTTTATTTATTTTTAAAAATATTGACTGATTTTTATTTAATCAAAAAAAAAAAAAAATAGATAGCTTATCCAAGCAAGCTTTACGATACAATTTGGAGGGTTTTTTTTTGAAATTCTGGGTTAGTGTATTTCTTGTATCAATTTTGCTTTTGAGATTTTGATCAAAAAAAAAAGTAGCCACCTTATTTAAGCAAGATTTTGATAAAGTTAAAAAAGGTTTTTTTGAAATTCTGGTTAGTATTTATTTTTATGTCACTTTTGCTTTTGAGGTATTGAATATAATCGATTCATAGTTTGATTAAAATTAGATATCAAGCTTTACGATAAGGTTGGGATGAATTTTCTTGAAGTTCTGGGTTAGTATATATTTTTATTTCAATTTTGCTTTTGTACTTTTGAAATACAATCAGTTCTTAATTTAATTTAAAAAAAAAATAGGCATTATTCAAGCAAGCTTTATGATAAAGTCAGGGAAGACTTTTTTTTAAAATTTCAGGTTAATATATATTTTTATATCAATTTGCTTTTAGCTTTTGAAATGCAATTAGTTTTTAGTTTAATTAAAAAAATAAGTATTAGGCTTTACGATAAGGTTGGAATACAAATAGATTGAAGTATAAAGTTGGAGTACAATAGAGTTAAAGTATAATAAGGTTGGAGTATGTTAAAATTGAAGTACAATAAGGTTAAAGTACGATAAGGTTGAAGAAAGTTTTTTTTTTAAAACCTGGGTTAGTATATATTTTTGTTAATTTTGCTTTTGAGCTTTTAAAATATAATCAATTCTTAGTCTGATCAAAAAAATAGATATTATTTGTACAAGCTTTACAATAAAGTTAAAAAGGAAACTTTTTTTTTTGAAATTCTGGGTTAGTTTATATTTTTATATCAATTTTGCTTTTAAATTTTCGAAATACAATTGATTCTTAGATTACCAAAAAAAAAATAGGCATCTCATTAAAGCAAACTTATAATTTATCTGAAAAAAGATTTTTTTAAACTGTTGGGTTAGTTTATATTTTGATAATGCAATGCTAACTAATTTTTGATTTGAAACTTTTTTTTTAAAAAAATAATTCTATATTAGAATAATTTGGTTAAAGCGACATAAAAGAATATAGAACAATTAGTTATAATGAATTCTCTAGTAACAATTGATAAGAATGATGAACCAGAATCTTGCAGTGGGTGTAGAAAAATTCTTTCCTTAAATTTATTCATTGATAATAATAAAAATTTTCGCACTTGTGATATGTGTCGTGCTCAAAATAAGCTTTACAAACAAAAAGCAAATAATAAGCAATCATCCAATCCTTTAGTTGAGATTCATGATCTTAGTGATATTCTATTATAAGAATTTGAAAATTTTGCTAATAATAAGAATCAAGAGAATCAGGATGATACGAAATTTAACTTTTTATATAGTGTTAAAATTAATGAATTAGAAGGTAGTTTGAAAGAACAAGCTAATCAAATTGTAGAAATTATATCTGATGTAGGCGAATATAAGTGGATGTAAGTTATAAAGAATATGCTTTTATTGTGTTTTTTTATTTAAAAATATACTAATTATTTTTATAATATTTTAAGATATCATCATTTATATAATAAGAAAAAATCCTCATCAGTGGTTTATTATTATTATTGTTCTCAAAGAGAATGTATAATTGAAAAATCAAAAAAATATTCAGATCATAGCAAACATCATGATAAATTACCTATGGTTTACTTTTCTTGTGATGGTTATATCAAGATTACTATTTGTCATGATCGTTTAATATGTGATATAAATATACAACATAAATTACATCCAATATGCCAAGATATATCAATTTCACCTGAAATAAAGCAATTTATACATGACAATATCGACTTACTTCCACGTGAAATTTATAAACGGCTTATTGAAAGTAATTTAAATATTAATATATGACAAAAGTAAATTTATTACTGGTGGAATGAGCTTGGCAAATGTTGATATAAACGTGATAATGATTCTTTTCTTTCTGCTCAAAAATGGCTTGAAGAAAAGTCTTTTGATGTTATATTTCAAAAAAAATACCAAAGGCTTTAGGATTTCTAACCAAAATGTAGACTATGTTACGAGACTTACACTTTAAAATATATGAAATTGGAGTTGATGCAACATGTAAGCAGATTTTGTTAGTTTAATTATTTGTTATATTTAATTTAATAATAATATTTATAAATTATATACTTATTTTAAATTTAGATAATACAAACAATTTAAAGTTTGAATTATATGTTGTACATGCTGAAATTGATGGAACCGGGTTTTCATTAGCATACTTATTTTTAGAAAATAATGGCAATTGTGGTAATGATATTCGAACTGGTATCATTATTGATTTTTTATTACAATTAAAAATTCAAGGACTTGAACCTGAGTTTTTTATAACTGATAAGAATTTCTCACAAATATTCGCTGCTAAACATGTTTGGAAAGATATTAAAATACAATTGTGTCTTTGGCACATCAAAAGGGCTATTGAAACTCGATTAGCTAATAATAAAAAACTACAAACTATTAATTATAATGGTGCAATAGCACATCAGCACTTTTCCTTTATTGACCCATTATTCCGGCCAACTTTGGATAATGATAAATTTCAATTTTGCTCTAAAGAGTTACAATCAACTGTATGGGAAATTATGAGAAAGCATTTGCATTTTCATCCACTTATTCCAATGGCTGATGGTTAGTTTTTTTCTTCAATTATGATTTGGACAATGGGAGTACAAGAAATTTATACCTTTTGTGAGCAGCATTCTCTACCATGGCTTTGGATATATATGTGGAATGAATGGTATTGTCCTGAAAGATGGAATTTGTGGTTTCGAAGTGGATGTAAAATAAATTATCTATTCTTAAAACAAATATGTTTGTCGAAGCTCAATAGAAAGTTTTGAAACGTGATTTTTTGTATAAATTTTTTTGCTCATAATTGAATTTGATTGTATTTATTCTTATGAATCAGGTAATACCAAATCAGCAAAGAAAGTTTGAGCAAATATTCATAGTTAAATGGGAGAAAGCTGAATAGCGAAAAGCATTTAATAGGCAATCCGCCAGTCACCTGGATAAAAAATTTTTTTTTATATATAAATTTTACTATAAGTGCAAATGCACA